AGGCCTCTTCTTTGTCTGTTTTTAAATCACTTCTTAAAACCCATCTATTTTCCTTGGCCTTTGACACATAGTGAATTGTTGATTTTATTTTATTTCATTTTATTGTTTCTATTGTATGCTTGTCATTGTCTTATGTCTTTTAATTTAATTTAATTTGTATTTTAAATGTATTTTTATTCTATTGTGTACAGCACTTTGTTCAACTGTGGTTGTTTTGAAAGTGCTTTACAAATAAAGTTGGATTGGATTGGATTGGATATTTAAAAATGCTAACGAGCTAAACATCACCAGCTTTCTGTAGAATTGCAGACTCCACCTTTCAGGCTACAAACCAGACTTCCAAACTCTGGAAATTTAAGCCAGAAAATGGTCCTTTCCCTCCAGAGAGGTGAACTTTCGGTTTAATTTTCAGTTTATTCGGCTTTGCGTGAAACCGTTCAGGTGTTGCTCCGACGTCTTCTAAAGGCTGGGAAAGCCCTGACCATGACCGGCAAGGTGCTCACCTAGCAACAGCAATATTTTTACCCGGTGCTTTTGTGGAACAGCAATAATTTAATCCCAGTCTTCTGCCAGTCGGCTTCGAACTGGGGGACCAGTACATTCAGAAATTTCAGACTTTCTCCCAGATCCAGCTCTGCCTACATCCACCGCATTTCTGAGGGAAAAATGCAATCAAATGGAGAATTATAGATGTCCTGAAGTCAGCCCCTTGGTTTAGGAAGGAGAATGAGAGAGAGGAGTCACAGCAAAGGTGTCTACAGTTCAGGTATTGCATTTCATGAGAATCGATCCCCCGGATGTTAGAGACACTTGGCACATGTATGACAGCAGTGGTGGGTGAAGACCCTCAACAGTAGTCCAGCTAAACAAGAAGACAGCACCGGGAAGAGCCCGTCAAACATTCATGTTTTCAGTGTCTGAAGTCCAGGAGGTCCAGCAAGGAGCACCCGGGTCAGTCAGAGAGTCTGAACCAGCACCGGGAACAGCAGGGAGAGGTGCTCGGCGCCTCGGATCGGGAGTTTGTGTGTGGTGTAGAAGTGGATGACCTCTGGGATGGTGTCAAAGGGCGGGCTGTTCTGTCCCAGGATGTACTTGCCGTCTTTACACTGAGTGAATTTCATGTGCATGAAACCCTGGCAGCTCCTGTGAGGGGAGAAAAAATATGGATTGAGTCAAGAGACAAAGGGAGAGTGGGAGGCACTGAGAAAGAAGGGTCGGGGAGAAACGAGGGATGACATGAAATGTGGGCCACATAAAACATCGCACAGCCTTCCACACACTTTGTCACATAATGACACAGTGGAAGCGACAGCCGGATTTATGGCCACGTCTTCCCTCCACCGTCAGGTCATGATTCTGACCAACATTTAACAGCGTGTCACAAATTAGGAAGGAAGGCGACGCTGTGATGAATGGATGAGCGGAGTAATAACACACGGAGGAGAAGTCTGAGAGTCAGAGACGGATGCTGTGGACTGTGAAAGTGTCTGAGCCCAGAACCGCACCTCCCCTTTAAGCGCAGCAGCCGCGGCGGCGCTTCCCCTTTAAGAGCCAGCCAGCCGTCATGATGTACGTCTAATTATAGACGCAGAGGGAACGACGAGGCTGCAACCGGTCACCATAATTGTCATTGTTCTAGTAAACCAAATTAAATTTTGAAGAGCAGTGAAACCAAAAGCGCTCGCTGTGACTACAAACATCCGGCGGCGTGTCGTCTCTCCGGCCCGCAGAGCGCCGAGACGTTTCAGACGCCGGACTTCAACCAGTCCGGTTTGTTTTATGGACTCTTTGTATGTGGTGGAATATTACAAACCTCCCACTCCACCTTCACAATACATGTTGGCTTAAATCTGGCAGGAACGCCTGTTTCGGTTCTGACTCACTGGACTCCAGTAAACAGTCATTCCTTCCATTGTTCACACTCTTGAGGTAGGTGTGGTTCACACTTTCCAAGGAGAGATAACACCAGTGGCAATAAACACATAGATGCTGATTGTTTTTTCCACACAGTGTAGGCAGCATGTGCTGTAATCACACAAAGGTTCCTTCTACAGCTCATTCTGGCATCATCACAGCGTCTCCCGTCACAAACAGATTCACTGACCAACAAGAACGCCCTGATAAAGACTAAACTCCAGCTTCTGTCTAGAATGGAGAAAGTCTCCTTTTCTACCTACATGGATGTTGTTTGAACAGTTTGAACTACCTGTTCTACCTGTGATGATGCACGATCAGCCAGAACACCTAAACCACTGTATTGTGAGGATTAAAGTGTCCACGGCTCACCTGGCTAAGAGGTTTGACTAAGTGCTGGATTAACAACACCAAGAGGAAAACATACCGTAGAACTGGAACTCTAATTCTATATGCACACAGCTTTTAATGGCAAACAAAATGCTAAAGTGATATATTTGTGTTTAAACCTTCCAGTAAATGGCCTCAAAGCAGAGATGGTCACAGTGTACGAGACAAGCAGGCAGTTTTACACTCGGCCAATAATGACGCCATCTATTGATCTGGATTTGTGGTAATCAAAGCATTTTGAAGTGTTGGCTTCATTGAGTGTGAGTCTGATTCTGTCCACAGATGAAATGTCTGCAATGTGAAATATTTTAAACTGGAAAGCGAGTCAACAGCCTGTCGTAGCGTCTTCAACGTGAGCTGCGTTCAGTGCTGTCGATGTCACACGACACCTGTGAAGTGAAAACTGGAACTCGGTGGGTTCTTTCAGGAAACTCAGGCAAAGGCTGCACCGAAGCGACACACGCTGGAGGATGATTACAGGAACTGAATACAGCCCATCGAAGGTTTTCACCATCTCTGAGCTTTTATACGGAAAGCCAAAAGTGCCATAATTTCCCCAGTTTGCATGCAATAAACCTGCAGAACCAGAGCTGCACAACAAGGTTTCGGACCACCTATATAGGTGCTACACCTTGTATACAAGGTCTTTAATCAGAGTTGACTGCTGTTGGCTTCAACACTTTGAAGTGAAGTTGAAATTTCTGTTGGTCGTTCTAGTGTACCAGCTGTACTTGAAATGCTAAGCTAAGCTAAGCTGTTGTTTTGTTGTGGAGGAGAATGATTCATCTACTGCACCACCTGAGGTTCTAGTTTTGCTACCACAATGCAGCACTAAACAGAAATCTGATAAAAGCCATTTTATTTGTTTATTTTGTGAAATAAAAACTACATGACGGACGCAGGAAGCTCTTCAGTTCTTCAGCAGATACACTGAACTGATTTTAGTAACTTTAAAGTACTAAAGCGAGCACTGTGTACTTCCTATGGAAATGGTTTGGGGACGCTGTGTCAGCAGAAACTCAGTACTGATGATTGGGTGAAAAAAAACTTGATCAGGACCAAAACCGCTGCTTCTGGACCCTCTCTGCACACTAAGCCTAAAACCATGTAAAGAACAGAAGCTCAGAGTCTTTCAGATGTGATGGCTCTCAGTGCATTTTTATCTCAGCATTCGTCGTGTCGGTCAGACAGACAGAGTTCTTATAACAAACAGAGAAGCTGGACCAGACGTTGGGTTTCCTTGAAGCTACAGCTCAGATTGTCCAGTCATGTTTCTCTGAAGGTCGCCTTCAGCAAACACCAGTTCTTTCTTCTGAACAAGCAAAAGAACTTAAGCTCAGTCGATGTTCTGGACATTTCACTTCTTCCAAACCTCACGTGTGCCGGCTGGGAAACCAGAACCAGAACTGACCTTGTCGCTCGAGCGAACACGCGTGTGCGTGTCAAACTCACTCTGCTCGTGTAAATGAGTAATGCATGAGCTTGTTTGTATGTCAGCACAACACGGCGACTCCCCCCCTCCCCCTCTCCCTGCCTAATTCCCTCCTCGTGTGTCCCACAGAAGGTAATTCATATTCATTAGTGATTATGTGGAGGATGATGTGTGCACTGAAGTGTGCTCTACCTGCCTGATTACCACTTAGAGGGCCCGCTGGGGCCGAGCAGGACGGCTGCAGGGAGCAGCCACGAAGGCAGCGAGAACAGAGGGTTGATGGAGGACGACGCGGGGCAGGACAATGGGACGTGGTAGCAATTGCAAGGGAGAGATTTGACCAGATAAGCAGTATTGTGCACCGCAAACGAGCATCGGGAGAGGAATCAGAGCAGCGGTGATGGTAAGCGGAGGTGATGGTGGAGGGGAGGAGGAGAGGGGAGCCAGATGGAGAGGTGTGGGAGACGGCAATATGAGATCAGCAGCTCAGGTGGCTTCACACACTCTTTGCACTCTCTCCTCAGTCATACGGCAGAAAGAAATGTGCAGAAATGTGCAATTATACAGTGAAGCTGCTCGTCTGACACCGGAGGCGCTCGCTGCCACTTGTTGTGGTGCAGCTGTGAGTGTTGGTGTCTTACCGGAGAGACAGGGAGTAGTCGGAGCGGTTGGTCTGGCTGTTCCTCACCAGGTAGCTGCACTCTTTGCACAGCGTCAGCAGTGACTCGGCCTCCGAGCGTGACAGCGAGCCGTGGTACCACCTGTCCGAACACAAAGACCGATGACATACGATGAGAAGTGGTCATGTGGAGTCCGTTATCACCTTTTCCAAGGACTGAAGGTACTTTGCTTCTCATTCTGGACAGTTTTAATTCACTCTGGGAGGATCTGAAGTCTCTCTGAACAGTCTTCATCTTGTTTTAGACAAATATTCAGTAATTTCTGGCAGGTTTCAAATCGGGTCATTTTCACAGGTTTTAGGTCAAAACAGCAAAAAACTGGAACCGTTTCTGGTCACACATCAGGTTCTACTGATGCCTCAACAGTTGGTGACACGTCGTCCAAAGACCACGCTCCAGTAGAAACATGGATCCAACCACAGACAGACACTGACAGGAACTTTCTGAGGAACCAGTTACACCGTTTGAGTCACTTTAAACGAATCTTCAGTAATTCTGGGCATTTTTTTGAGTAATTTTAAACAATTTCAAGTCATTTTTGACTCATTTCTAGACTGATTTGAAGTGATTTTTGTAGAATTTTGAGCCACTTTAGACATTTTTCAAGTCATCTCAGACAGTAACAGGACATTTATGGGTAATTTTAAACTGTCGACGTTTAGAAACTCTGTAGTTTGTGTTAATTTGAGTCTTCAAATTAGTTCTTTAGTTAATTTTTAATTATTTTTTTGTTCCCCGTATTGGTAACATTTGTGGGCTTTGGAAAAAATGTTGATTCCAGCTTTTTTTTTTTGTAAAATAAATAATTTTTTTCAAAATAATAATACATTTTTGAATTCTGTCTATTTCTAGCCGTGGTTGTGGTGTTTCCATTAATGAGCAGAACTTTTTACTGCAGTGAAAACGAGCCCACAGTGAGTAAGAATGTGGGTTCAGAGGGTTAATTACAGTCACATAGTGGAAAAAATAAAATCAGCTCTACGGTTTGTACCATTGGTCACCGGTACAATAACGGTACAACACAATGAACACGTCTGAAGTTTAATAGAAACATATAATGACTCTCTGGGCTCTATTATCACAGCAGTAAACCGTCAGCCTGCCGACACACAAGCTGCTGCAGGTTAAAGGATCACTACAGTTACTGCAGTTCATCCTGAGGGGGACAATGAATGTCACAACCACGTTTTACAGCAATCCATCCAATAGTTGAGGTATTTCTCTTGAACCTACAAAAGCCAACCTCATGATCCAGGGATTAACGAAGTCATTAAGATGCTTCCCAGCGGTACCATGAACATCTGCCATAGTGATGAGCTTTTACTGAAGCAGGTGTACCGACAGCCACAGGTTGACACCGACGCTGTTTTTCTGTTTAAAACTGAGCCGGAGGAAACCACAAAGCTCCCAATAGCCCCCGAGAGATCATCAGGGACTAATGGAGCATAATAATCAACCACCATCCTCAAGTGAATTCGCACACGCGTGTGTTTGTGGGCGCGACACAGCGGGCGTCACATGAGTCTGTGCTTAAGGGGTGTCTCCTGCTTGGATTTCATTAGCAAAACGGCCTTTTATGTGCACGCAAACAGCACATAAATAACACCAATGATGTCTGAAATTAAGACCAAAGTAAATGTGTGTTTTTAATGTTCTGACTTAATTAGTTCTCATTCTAACCTTGTGCAGTTCTGTGAGCTCCGATGAGCCACAAACACACAATCGCTTGGTTTTGTCCAAGCTCCTAACGGATCAGAGCGCTGCACTGAAGCAGGATTTGGTTGTTTTTGTGGATCTACAGCTTCAGTTTTCCTCAAATAGTCAAAACCACTTTCCTAGCAGTGTACTATAGATGCACGTGCATGTCGGCGACATTTAAAGCTCCAGATGATTACATTCACCTTCAGAAGAACCTGCACGATGAGGGTTTGGTTGATGTATTTAAACCTGGTTGAACCGTGCATCTCTGTCAGATAAGGGACTGAAGGTTGTTCAGATATTGAACCTTTCACAGCATTTTTGATATAATTTGATGTCTGCTGATATTTTCTTCTAAGACAGGGCAGTTCCATTATTATGCTGTATTCAAGGTAATTTAATTGATAGCAAGACCAAGACTGTGGGGTCTCCAGCATCAGCCTTCCTCAGATATTCAACATCACACTCATAGCAGTGTATTATAAAAGTATGTGCATGACTGCAACATGTACAGCCTGTGATCACTGAATTTAAACATGTGATCGAACGTTTCTCGACTTGGTTTGACACGTGGTCAAATATTAAATCTATTTCTGGTGCAATCTGACGTCTGCTGATATCATTTTTAAGCCCAGTGCTACCATGACGGCTATCTTCCTTCTAAGACAGGTGCAGCTCCTTTATGCTCACATTTTAAGTTAAACCATGACACTCAGTGATTGAACATCGAAGCATGTACACGTCTTAATCTGCTTAGACCAGGGGTGTCGACATCCGGTCCTCGAGGGCCGCAATCCTGCATGTTTTAGATGTTTCCCTCTTCCAACACACCTGATTCAAATGATCAGGATCGTTATCAGGCTTCTGCAGAGATGATGATGAGCTGATCATTTGAATCAAGTGTGTTGGAAGAGGGAAACGTCTAAAACATGCAGGATTGCGGCCCTCGAGGACCACAGTTTGACACCCCTGGCTTAGACCTTCAGATACAGGTGATGCTGACCTTCTACGGGTTCAACAAAGGACAGCGTACATACACCTGCTTCTCCAGAGGCAGAGTCGGGTCCACTCGCTCCCCCACCATCGCGAGGCCTTCGGGCGGCATTCGAAACTTCATCCCGCCACCCGCCAGCGGGCTGGACCTGGGCCCCAGGGGACGCAACCGGTCCGTGGGCGACGAGGAGCGGTCCCACTCTGCGCCATCGAACTGCACTGTTGGCAGGCAGGGACAGAAAAAGTGAGTCACATTATTTGCACAGCAGTATGATCAAAAGGGATTAAAGCTCTCAGCCGGACTCCGGTAAACATCAGACATCCGGTTATTACAAAACCACGCATGCAGCAGGGAGACCTCTCACGGATGGGTCGCTCGACCGGACAGCGGCTCCGACAGCAACGAAATGATCGCCTCATTTACCGCCATCAGTGTTTTTATGAGTCCAGGAGGGCAGGCGGAGGCGCTTCTTCTCTGACCGGCTTTGTCTTGCAGCAGACTTTGCAGATCACTCGACTGCACTAATACCGCTCTGGAGCAAATTACACGTACAGACTGAAGTGTTATTTACCCATCCTGCGCCTGATTTTTGTGAAATTCAATCTAGAGAACTTGTAATTAAACATTAAGTGCGCCACAGCACTACTAAGTACACGAACGCCGCAGACGTCCTCATTTGCAGAGAGCTTTTCATGCATGGGTGACGCAAAGAGAGGAATATGGCTGAGAAGGGAGCGCTTTCAATTCCCCGCGTCCGAGGAATCGGCAGGAACAGGCAGGGACGGATGCAGGTGCAGCAGATGCAGGCCGCTGGGGGGAGGACGGAGGGTGGAGGTGGAGCAGATGCAGGACAACAGCGTGGGTCGTGGAGGTCAGGCCGACTGCATGTGTATGTGTGTGTTTAGGCTGATAAAGGAAGGCGAGGAAGAGGGGGAGTGGTGGTGTTTTCAGGGTGAGAGGTCACCTTGCTCTCTGGCGGGGGGCTCCTCCTCCAGCTGACCCACCGGGGCAGGCCAGGGCAACTCCGACAACTCCCTCATTTCTAATAGAGAGAGGAGGGGGAAGCGGGGAGGGGAGAAAAAGGGAGTAAGAAGACAGCTGATGGGTTTGAACAAGAGAAGCGCTGATGATGTAGAAGAAGTGATTTTAAGCTGAGGAGGTCAAAGCGAGGAGAAGGGGATCCCTGCTGAGGGTGAGAGAGGCGGCATGTGTGACAGCGAGTCATGAAATGTGGTTAACTACACCTCCTGTCATCAGAGGAGGTAATACACTCCACCTCCTGCCTCCTTACTTTATCTCACATGTGGGAAAAACACAGCCAGAGTGCTTCAGACGCTGTATTTACAGTAATTTATCACGGGAGATAAGACCAAAGAAAGCAAGGAAGATGAAACGGAACAGGAGGAGTCAGCGGCTCAGTTATTTATAGCCATCTGAACAATCCACTTCTTTAAAAAGCGGTCCTTTGGAAGCAGATGCAATGAAAACAAAAGCAGCTTCGTTGGCGGTGTGACAGCTGAGGTGCGTGGGGGCACAAACAGTGTTTCACTGTCCTACCTACAAGAGACTGAAAATAGCTCGTTAGAGCCGCTGGCAGGCGAGCGTCTCCGGCACCGTGTCATTACTGCAGCCTCTCACACACACACATGGACATTATGCATTTTGCCAGTTTCGCGCTGTACATTTCGGCTCCTGCTCGCGGATTACAAAACAAATAAAAGGAAAAGAGGGGTGACATCTTAATGAGCCGACAAATCCAAAGACCCCCCAGGCCCGCGACATCAAAGGGGGCCATTTGAATGGGCGTTTGGAGAGAGACCTGGGCTGTACATACATGCCTCTCTCCCTCCCTGGTTAATTATTGAGCAGGCAGACACACTCCGCCACTTTCTCTGGCTCTCCGTGAATTATTGATGCATGGCGCAGCACAATGGCCCCATCTGGAGCGGGCCGCACCTCCGCCGAAGCCAGGATTAAAGTGTGGCCTGGCACTGCTCGGTGCACGCAAACACGCAGGTCCACATGCACATCTGAAACACCGACACCGCCGCCGCCGCCACATCACATTTCACACCTCTAATCGTCAGCTGAAGACCGAGAGAGGAAAGACAGAGCGCACAAAAACAAGCGAAGGGAAGCAAGAAAAGAAAGAAAAAGAGAAAAAAAAATGGACCCAAGACAATTTATTGCAGATCAGAAATGCGCTCAGCCATCTGAAGGAGCGATAAGCTCAGGTGGTGGCGTGCCACAGGCGGAGGAGGAAATCCCATCAAGATTCTGGGTTGTTGTCGTTCCTCTGCTTTTATTGTTAGATCTTATAATTGCATTTCTCCTCACCGAAAAAGTTCTAAAAATCTACCAGAGGTGGTGAAATGATTTCTGCTGTCGCATCCCGTCTGCAGGATTCAGCTCGACTTTAAAGACAGACGAGCTTTAACAGCAGATTTTACTCTTCATGGTCTAAACGGACACGAGACTCGTTTCAGCCAGTTTCATTATTCTTGATCAACTTTCTTGAAGCAGATCAATAAACTAGTGGAGCCTCTGGTGATGGTGTTTTGGTTGCATGTACTACTAACCATCAACCAGCCGGGTTCACTTCAGACCAATCAGACACTGAAGTCTCATTTCCAGCATGAAACATTAATAATCAGACAAACAAGGACCGAAGTCAGACTGTGGGATGAGTTGGAGCCTGGTGGGATATAAAACTGAGTCATCTGCAAAATATGGACCATGGAGCACCAAGCAGGAGGGGTTGAGTCATGAATGTAGAAGTGAGAACAGTAACGGACCAGGAATAGAGCCCTGAGGTCATGTCTTCATAAACTTGCTGTATTTTATGCCGTCAGCCAAAAGCTTCTCTGTATACGATGGAAGTTACACAGAAACAGGAGACATCGGACTGAATCCCTTTAAATACGAGCTGGAAAACGCTCCCTGTCTGGATTATGGAACTAAAACCAGTGAGTTTCTGGCTCTGGAGGTCCAACACTGAAGGCTCAGTGCTGCTCAGATGTTCTGTTAAGAACAAACAAGAATGAAAAGTGGAACTGGCAGACGCATTACAGATTGTTGAGTCTGGCTCCTGTAGCGACATTACCAGGTGTGTGTTGGGTCACCGCTCAGTCGGTTTGTCTTCACAGGGATTCGCTGCCACAGGCTGATCAACGTGCTGCTGAGTTCGCATCACTGCAGCAAATCTCAGGCAGGATGAATCTTTCAGATTGTGTCAGATCTATATCAGCACACTGTTTGTGTACCTCCCATACTTCCTGGGAATCTCCTGTATGTCACTGTTCGTTCCTGCTGTCTACCCAAGTCTCCTTTGTTTATAACCTTTCAGAAGGTGGTTTAACCTGCAGCCTGTAGAAAGTCATCAACATACATTTATAATCACAAGTTGGAAGGGGCCATCACAGCTTTGATGGCAGGATGAGGTGCTCTGTCGTCCTCCTCAACCAACATCTGCTCACAAAAAGAGAAAAAACAAAAACAGCGTAAGAGTGAAGTGCAGGAGCAGCACTGAGCTAAACCTGCTCTCTTCAGGTTTGATGCCAGTAAACAGCACAAAGCGTGAGCTGATGTCCAGGGTTTCAGGGCATCTCTTGGTCTGTTGGTGTCCTGCTTGTTCTTCCAGACGTCTCCGGGCTGCTCTATGACTCTGTGCCTAAAGTCAGCGTGAAACAACTTTTTATTAGGTTTGATAAACGCAGACGGAAAACAATGTTTGTAAGCTGCAGCTCAGAAAAGATAAATCACGTCGCGCACAAACTGGTGTTCATATGAGCTCGCAGGAAATGAAACTGGAGATTTGGAGAAGCAACTTCTGTGAAAACCGTCCAGATAACACACGAGTGTGACGGCGCTCCTCGAGGATCCACATCATTCTAAAACAAGATAATAATTATCTCAGTCCGTCGGGGTTTAGTCACAACTCCGGACTCATGAAAGATGAACACCGGACTGGAGGTCTGCTGAGTCCGACACACGGAGCAAACTGGTTTACAGGAGGTGGGATAGTAATGGGAGTACTGGGTGGCAGGTGTGACAGTGAGAAACGAGTTACATGGCTCACGGGTCAGTCGGAGGCCCCTCAGCAGAAGGTGGCTCCGGCTCCCAGGGAGGTCGGGCTGACTCTGGAGCTACTCAACCCAATCCTTGCTTCAATCATATTTTAGAACAAGTGGCTGACTTGTGGGATTTTGGAATTCACTGTGTGCCCACGTGTGAATGTGATCGATGTGGGGACGGCGATGAGGGTGACGGACACCACGGTGCACAACCACACAACACAGTCCCTTATTTTACATCCTAATGTTGGCAAGTACGAGTTTCATTTGTGTTTATGCTAAATTAGCAGATTTGATCAGACGAGCTGCAGCTTGTGGCCTTCATGCACTGGCACACTTTTGGGCTTTATGATTGAAAACAGGTTCAGAATCGGAGGATGGAACGTGTCGTCATCCAGATGATCAGAATAATCTTTGTCTTAAGGTTAACCCACATGTACATTACTGCATGAGGGCACAAATTACAACTCCATGAAGCCAACTAGTCCTACACTGTCTTCATTTCTGAGCATAAGATGCACTCACTCCCTCTGCTGCAAAGCCTGGACGTGCACTCTAACACACATGCAAACCGTGTGGGAGCTCCTGGCTTTGATAACAAAGGACTCACACACGCATGCACACAATCTCACACCATGTCACTCATTCCCTAGCGGGGAACATCTGGCTTCCATTCACTTCTAATGGGAGCCTGTCATCCACAGATGGCTGTTTGCGCTTCGTTCGTCACTACGACACAATGAGGCTCACCAGGCTGGTTAGACAGCGGCACGCTCACGCCTCTGATTTGTATGTAAAAGACATATCTATGCTGAAAACAGCAGAGTGCTTTTCTCCCGTTTTTTACCCCAAATGCTGGAACAGGTGACAGCAATTTGTGTTCTCACTACCTGCTAACGATTAGCGAATGCGATCTGAGGAGGGGAGGACTGACCAGAGCAGGTTTCCTTCCTGTGCTGCTCACAGAGGACACTTGGGTGACGGATAGCTGACTTTTCGAGCACACCAGCTGTTTTCTGTGTCCTCATAATTAAGGAGGAGCAGACAAAGACAATAGAGCAGCTTCATTAGGTCCATTAATGAAGACATCTGTTTTCCACACACCCCTGGTATCCCGTCTCTCTGCGCACAAAAGGCCTGGTTTAGGAAAAAAAAAACAAAAAAAAAAGCCCCATAAGGACCGACAATTACCCCCTTCTGTCAGCCACAGGGGACAAAACCCAACAGGCATTCACACAAGTTTCCCTTTTTCAATATGAATCTGCACCATATTGATTTTAATTTTAAAAGCATGGTGCGTTTCTGTAGAACCTTCTCGGCGTATCCGTTCTCCAGACAGTCATTAAATCCACTCCCCTGTGGATTCGGCCCGTCTCCCTCTTTTGTGCTGAACATCCCTCTTTCTTCATCACTCCTCCTTCACCTATTTCCCCTCTAAGTGGGGCATTATCGCTCTTTCCATATTCCCTCTCTCCTCTTCCTGTCGCGCCCTGCTCCACTTCTATCATCCCCCTCCATCGCTCATCATGGTCTGGGAGGGGGGTACACAAAGGACATGTCTCCCCATTAATGTCAGTGAAGGTTTGGGCTGAAGGAGAGAGAAAATCAGCAAGTGGCAGGAGAGAGAGGAAGGGACAGGAGGGAGCAAATGTGACAGAGAGAAGAGAAAAAAAAACAGAAGGAGGTGAGAGCAGCCACAGTCCTTCTACTGTGCCAGTAAATTGATGAAGAGGCCGGTCAGATGCCCCCAGGGCCTGCTTAGAGCCACAGAGAGCAGCATCAATCCAGGAATGGAAATCTCATTTTCTTTCCCCCCCCCACTTGCTTGCATGTTTGTCTGCATGCACACAAACATCTAGACTCACACATCCACTCACACACTGTACGTAGCTCAGAAACCTCGTCTTGTCAAAGCACAAGTATGCAGACGCAGCGCACACACACCATCTGTCAAGGTGTCTCTGCAGCC